ATTTTTTACTAATATCACAGTGTCGCTCCTTTCTTTTTTTTCAAAAGAATTCAATGTAACCCCGTTCTGAAAAAAAATCAAATAAGTATTTTTTGCTTGGTTACATTTAGGAAACTTAATTTGGTGAACATACAAGTTCCAGGTAAGCTTTTGTCTCTTGAATGATATGTGTCTCCGCGAGAGCAAGGCGGGCGGACAAATTGTCGGACTCTGGGTCTAGGATATCCGATTTTTTAATGTTGAACCGATGCGCGATCGATTCGGCAATGGTGTCGCTCTAAAAATTATTACATACAAGTTAACAATTACAGAATGGATCGTGTATATAACCGACGAGGTAAACGCGGAGATCATTACATTCATGTAAAGCGTACTCCAGTTGAAGTCATTCGTCGCCTGACTCTTTAACTTCATTTCCTTTTTCTTCTTTAAGCTCCACTTGCTTGGATCTTGATGTTGTGACTGGGGCTTTTCTTTCGAAGGCAAGATGTGTAGTAATCGTCCCATGAAAAACTTATTGTCGAGTTCGATATATGCCTTCACAGCGTGTTCGGGAATGTGGTATAGAACGTAAGCGAATCCCTTCTGCTTCTTGGTTTCCCTGTCGAGTGGCATGTGAACCTATTTCATATTAGTTTCATCAGTGGTTGTGTGAATAATCCGAACAAAAAAATAAACACTGTAAAATGTACGTACTTCAGCGAGTGGTCCAAACTTGTTAAATTCTTTCCGCAAATCCTCTTCTGTGCATATGTAAGGTAGATTACGAACAAACAAGCGACCAGTTTCACCAATAGATTCTTCCGGTGGCAGCTCATCAACAGTATTGCTACGCTCATTATGAGGATTCTCGTCTTGCATCATCGAATCTTTGTCCTTGGGACTTTGTTGGTTATCAGAATCATTAATTTCGACATCATCCGCAAACTCGACCTTTCTCTTTTTTCTAATGTTTCCAGCATTATTGGATTCACCTTCGGACAAAGAATCCTTGAATATACAGAAGTATCTTCTCAGACAGAATTCGTATTATCGTGATAAGAAAGAAGAGATGCCTCACCTCTTCATCTTCCTCATCGTCCGCAACCCAATCTAACTTTCTTCTCATTCTTGATTTGAGCCAATCGGTGTCGGACACGGAATTCTTGACATCTTTTAATTTATCATCGTCTTCATCTGACCTATCAGAACTATCCTCCTCATCATCCGAGCTCAAAACTTTCCCAGCATCATTTGATTTTGTTGGCATATCCTGATAAAGCTCATCATCCGAACCTTCCTGTGCTTTAATAATTTCCTTAATATTCTTTCCATTCTTACTTTCCTGGTTTTCCGAGGCTGTCAAGTCGTCGTTTGCCCAAGTCTTTGATTTCGATCTTGGTTTCATAACTTCGATAAACTCTCGCAACTTTTCGTTACTTTGAATTTCACCCTGAAGCTTTGACTTTGGTTGATCTTTTGCCCCTTTCTTTATTATTTGATCTGACTGATTTTGATTTTGACCTTCCGAATGTCGTCTTTGGTAACTCGAAGATCCAACGCTATGCGCGCTCCATGGCCGTGGCAATGACGAATCATTAACCTTGAATAATGTTGGTGCGACGATAAGATAATTTGGAATAATGAATTGATGATTGATTGAATTAGCGCTCACTCACAGGTTTTGCACGTTCTACGGCTATCCGTGAAGTAAAGATAAAAGTATTATGAAAATATTTCAATGCGTTGTTTGCCTCTTGTTCTGTGCTGTACCCGACGAAACCGAAACACCGGGATGTCCCTTCTCTACAATAACAATAATCATTTTGTTTATCAAGATTAATTAATTTCGTATTGAATAATTCGGTAACTTCACCAATTCGAAACGAAATGCTAAGGTAATTACGGAGTCTTCATGATCTTGGCATCAGTCACTCTTCCTTTTGTCGCGAAATGTTCGCGAAATTTTGTTTCGGTCAAATTCTTTGGAAGATTTTTTATAATTAAGCGTGACCTGAAGCATGATGGATAAGTTAATTAACAACAGAACCAGTTTCTGAATTGTTGATCGTGTTGCGAATAATATTCGTTGGAACTTACATTTTACTGAGCGTACTTACGTGAATTCATGTTCTCCTTTAAATTAAAAAATTTTTAATTTCACGTGAGCATTGACCTTCACGTGGCAAAAAGTTTACATAAATTCGGTTTATTTGTGTATACACGACTATTTTATGGAAGCGACAGCAAAACTCGGTACGATCACGCAGTTACGTGTATTAGCCTTTGAAGTACTTTTAAAGAAAATTTTTTTAACTGAGATACAAAATACAAACAGATGAGGATACCGGCAAAAGGCAAACGCGTCTCATTGATCACCTGGCGACCTCGCTAAAGAAGACGGTCCCTGGTTCGCATACGTACACTCTATATATACTTTCTACCAAGTTAACATCTACAGCACCTTTGATATCTCCAGAACCATCACCGACAGTTGAATCAACTTTTTTTAGTCGAAAATTATTAATATTTGTAGCCGAAAGGATAACCGAGAAGGAAACTCTGGTTGTGGGTGCAGAAATTCACGAATATCATGATCTCGCCAATGAAACATTAACAATTTAC